TAAAGAATGCTTTTAGCACCTTGTTGAATCAATGCCACGTAGAATTAAGGCAGTTCTGAAGGCGAAAGGGGGTCAAACACCGTATTAGCATGGTGTTCCTAATAATCCTTTAGGTGAGTGTATAAAATGTCCTCCTTAGTGGACAGTTGTAATTATTACCAAAATTTTGATTATCGTATGCAGGAAGGGAGTCACTTTCAGAGGCAGAGAGAATTTTGCTGCAAATTGTTGGTGAAAACTCAGATATTGAGTTGTCAGATGAGGAAGATGAAAATGCAGAGTTTGAGGCAGAGTCAGAGGAGTCAGAAAGCACAGATGATGAAGTTCAGACAGGGCAAACAGAGACAGAAGAGTCAGCGAGGGAGCAACCATCCACATCTAGTCGTCGTCTCCACTGGGCCAAGACTACAATGTACACCCTGTCATTGTATTCTAAATATATATCACTATTAACAGTACCTATAGGTTTTTAATTTTTACTTATAGTTAGTCACAAAAATTATATATTCTGATAAATCTAATAACGTTTTTAGAGACTCATTTTCTTTTTTCTTCATGCTTTTTTAAGATTCAACCCCCAACTGGATGATCCTCCAATAATTCACAGCAGTGATGCCCCTACACGCAATAACTGGACCCCAAAGCAATATTTTGAACAGTACATTGATGACTCTGTGTACAAAGAAATGGCTATGTTCACAAACCAGCGTGAGGTCCTTTTGTCTGGAGCACCAATTAACACCACCCCTGAAGAGCTGAAGACATTTTTTGGAAGTTCTATCTACATGGCCTGTCTTGGTTATCCAAATATTCAGATGTATTGGGCCTCAAACACCAGAGTTCAAATAGTTCTACAAGCTAAGACAATCTATTAAGATCATCAATGACCTGGATGTTTCAGATGAGGAAAAAAGAAGAGACCTCTTGTGGAAGGTCAGGCCCCTTCTGAAAAAAGTGAGGAAAGGATGTTTGAGTCTTCCAAGAGCACAAAAACTGTCCGTTGACGAGCAAATGATTCCTTTTACTGGCCGCTGCCCAGTTCGCCAGTATGTTCCGGGCAAACCATACCCAACTGGATTGAAGGTGTTTGTCTTGGCCACACCAAATGGCATGGTCTTAGATTTTGTTGTGTACCAAGGCAAGACCACCTTCCCAATCACAGCAGGACAGGGCATCGGAGCACAAGCTGTTCTTCATTTGACTGAGTCCATTCCCAGAGGAACCCACTTGTTCTTTGACCGGTACTTTATGACTGTTGACCTTTTGAACACCCTGGTGGAGAAGGGGCTGACAGGAACTGGAACTCTGATGAAGAACAGAATTCCAAAGGAGTGCAACATTATAGGGGACCAGGCCATCAAAAAGAAAGGAAGAGGGACATCTGAGATGGTGGTCAGACGAAGCCCTCCTGAACTTGCTATCATTAAGTGGTTTGACAATAGGCTAGTGGTCATGTCATCCTCTGCCTATGGCATTGAGCCTCAAGACACATGCAATAGATGGTCTAAGAAGGACAAAAGGTATGTTCAGGTGTCAAGACCACTGGCAGTGGCTGAGTACAACAGCAACATGGGTGAGTTAGACATGGCCGACCAAATGCTAAGTTTCTACAGGATGGCCACTCGTACTCGGAAGTGGACGGTGCGTGTAATTTTGCACTTTTTTGATTTGGCAATCACCAATGCATGGCTTCAGTACAGGAATGATTACCAGCTTCAAGGGAAGAAACCACTGAAGTTTCTTGAATTCAAATTGCTCCTTGGTGAGCAGCTGATTACCCATGGTCAAGCTGGAATCTCTAGTGAGAGTGAAGATGACTACACTCCCCCACGTCAAAAGTGGAAACCTCAGCCGAATGCATCCCTGAGACACTATGGAGCCATCCATCTTCCAGAAATGGTGGATGAAGCACATGCATCCAGGTGTCGCAGATCTGGATGTAACAGCAAAACATACGTGATGTGCACTAAGTGTAAGATCTTTCTCTGTGTTTCAAAGAAGGGGAATTGCTTCTTGAAATATCATACCCCATAAAAAAGAAATACATAAAATTTCCAAAATACAAACACCACACTAACAATGATGTGTTAGTTCCAGTCAAAGTTCATACTGATTCTTGATATTTTCTTTGTAATTTCCTTGTGTTCATGGTTCGTTTTCGGATATACTAACTTCTGTTGTCCAGTGTGGTGGACACAACATATTGTGAAAATAAAACTTGTCAGTATGCTCATTGCCTTTCAAACAATTGGAAAAAGGAAAAATAAAAATAATTTGAAAATATTTTTTTTCCTGGTAGTCAGGAGGATATTATTCATCTTTGCGCTGTTACGCGTCTGAATGATTTAAAACTGAGAGCCCCCCGCCACGAAATTTTCTTTATTGTTTGTAAGTACTTAAAGTTTTGTTTTTGTGTTAAATGCATATATACCGATATCGCATTAAAATCATATCTCAAACCCTCTTCTCTATCCCTTGCGGCTCTTTGAAAATCTTGTCAGACATTTAGGATAAAATGGCTCTTTGCTTTAAAAAGGTTGCCGACCTCCGGTTTTAGGTGTTAGATTCGCTACTGTTGAAGGAGTTTGATGTTCACTGGTACGGGAAACGGATGGTTCTAGTGTTAACTGCGCAGTTGCGCCTCTTACCATGCACCCTACATGAAGGCAGCGGCACATATGCTGATTTAGCGAATGTATTTTACTTTTTAATTTGCTAATATATATGTATGTTTCTGGGTTATTTTTGTTTAATGTGTACAATTATACAAAATCTGTTTTATTTGAATTTGTTAATTTGCAATCAAGATGTGGCGTCAGAGTGTGTTCAATGGAAAATTCACACAACGCAGGTAAACCACTGCGGTCAAGTTTCCGTGCTTTGCCGATACACGGTCAAATCATCCGTGTTTAAAATTCTTTAAAATATTGTTTCTAATAAAGTCCATGTAATTATGTCTTTCGTTATGTGTACAAAATAATCATGCATTGGTTAATCACAAATCATTTATTTTAAGTGAATTATGATTGAAATACTTCTTACATCCAGAAGGTGGCAGTAAGAAGAAGATTAAAATGATTCAGACTGCACATGCACAAACTCACTATCTTCCTTGTTTTTGGCGGATAACTTGCCAACGGTTTGAGAGAAGTAGGTGGACATTTTTCATTTGTAGTATTATTGAGCATGATTTAATTGTGTGTTTGTGATACAACACTCGTTCTATATTTCTGAAGTGCTTGTTTTTTAGAGAGCGGTGGGTCTGGCACATTATAGCTTATTGTTGCACGATAACGCTACGTTAACGTTAGGTCAGTCTGCTTTTATCCCGCCGAGATGTGGTTTGATGGGTAATTTTACTGTCATGTTCCTGTCTGAACTTTCAGATATCAAGCTTTATTTTACTGATGACATCCCATATTCCTTCTAACGTCAGTGCTTCATATTAAGCTTTCCATCGGCAAACTATATAGTGGGTTTTTTTTTTCACTGTGAAACAGGTACAGGAAATGCTAAGTGTTTTAAACAGCAAATTATATTGGGCTACTCGGTTACTAGAGGACCAAGAGTTAGCATGTACGGTAAGTTAGGTACTGAAATAAAGCACCGGTAGCTTTTGGCAAGCGCTGGAGCTGGCGTCATCAACAACGGGATCCTCCAGTGTTATGTTTTAACTAGACTGCATTTCCGCAGAGAAAATGCAAAGTGTGCATGCTCAAATGCAGCAGTCGTCTGACCCTTCATGTCCCCATAAACAAAGTTTTTGGCTGTCCCTGCTAAGTGTTCATAAACTTAAATCAGACATCTTGGAAAATCTGGCTCAGGAAATCATCAAGTGTTAGGCATATCCCTCAAACTTAGAAATTGAATATGTTGCTGAAGCTTTAATCAAAGCACATCCACGTTTGAGAGAACAGGGATCCTTCAGTGGTTTCTACGGCTGGAAAATAAGTCTTAAGTACAAGATGGCCAACTACAGGACAAAGCTTAGAAACTTGGGGTGTCCAGAACTGAGCATCAATTCCCTGCAGATAGATGTCAGCCTGCCTACGATGTCAAAAAACCGAGGAAAGCAGAGGTAAATTTTTGTCCTCCATATCCTGCTGGAGAGACCCAGGACAGCCTTGAAGGTGAAAGATTGGCATTGGTATCTGAGGTTAAGAAGAGACATAATGATAAAGTTGTCAATGAAAAGATGGCCAAGACCTTCGCATACAGGAGGCAGGAGGTCGTCAGAGACAAGCCCATGATCGCGGAGTTCAAGATCAGATGGCCAGGACTTTTCACTGTGGCAGAGGTATGAAATTATATATAAATTAAATGTATATAAATTATTTTTAATAATTTTTTTGGCAATTCTGCTATATTGGATAGTGACAGTGTAGAGATACTGTAGGAAAGGCAGGGGGGAGAGCAGGGATGACATGCATCAAAAGGCCTGAGGTTGGATTTGAACCCCAGCTATAGTCAATATTTTTTGTCATTTGATACAATGTAACATATGAATGTTAATCATTTTGTGTAAAACATAACCATGGCACAGGAAGTACTATTGTTTAAAGCACTGCC